CACTGGAGGTAACAGACGAGTTAATAAGAAACTGATTCATCAAGTTAGTTTAGTCTCACTACGAGTGTGTTCTAAGTTTCGACCTCGTTGGAAATCTGATCAAATATTCACATCTCTCGTGCCATGGATTGTGGACTATTGCATTCACACGCACACACCTGGCTATCTTATTATTGATTAACCAAGTAGCCACTTATTCATTTACTATTTCAGATCCGTGTGAGTTTATTTGGCTGAAATAACAGCGATCATTTGACTAAAAGTCCTCTGTTTTCACATTCTTTGGGGCTGAGTAAGAATTTAAACAAATCCCATGACCAAAGGTTATCTTATTTTCTACCAGTAGAATAACCAGCCAGTTTGTGTCGGTATAGAGGTTATCCATTTCATTGGGAAGTCGGTTTTTCAAGCTATCTAACGGGAATTGAGCTTAAGTTGACGGGGTTTTTCTGAGAGCCATTAGTCCTGGCAAATTCAAACGTTTGGGCTTTAATTTTAAGTGTTTTTCTTTGGCTAAGATTAACATATGGGAAAATAATTTATTTCGTCATTATTAAATGATCGAGGGAATTTATAAAATTCCCACTTGTAATTCATTAGTTTCGAGTATTTCTTAAATGCCTTTTTTGCTCTTTAGGATCAATGATCCCTATAAACTGCCTTGCGGGCATACGTTTTGCCTACGACCCTGTATCTTGTCTCATGCCAAAGCAGTGACGGGACGATGCATCAGTTGTCATCTGGAATTCAACGCCTCCGAGTTGAGACCGAACTATTTAGTGGCGGCAAAACTCCACTTAAGCCTCCAGGAGAAGTCGGAGGGGGAAAATAATAGCTCGAAGAATCCGAAAGTCTCGGATCTTGCCAAAAGTGGTGATCAAAGTCGGTGTAGCATCTGCCAGAAATGGACAGATGAAAACCAACTGAAGTATTGTAAACACTGCCATCGAAATGTCTGCCCGACTTGCTTGCAAAAGCACTTTGATTCAGTAAGAATTTTGTCTTGGTGTACCACTAAATACTTGCTATTGCTTCTAATTGCAGATGAGATCACTAATTTGGACAGGCAGAATAAAATCTTGAACCTGTTCTCAACGTGGGTTCGAGAACATTCACCAGTTAGTTAGTGGATTTTGGTGTGAATAACGATTATCTTTGTCACCACTGTGCGAAATATCATGACGGCTCTTCCTGATTGAATGAATCGGTGGAGAAGAACTGAGCATATTAGACTCACATTTGGTCGATTGTGTGCTTCCCTTTGGTGTTGGTACTTACTCGTGAAGCTTAAACTTATATTTATTCCTATTCTTGCTCTCCCCTTTGTAGTACAGTTTGCAAGTACGAGTACAGTTGACTTCGATGCATCGCAAAGAACGTGAGCTAAATGTGGTATTGCAAAATTTAAAGACGAAATTGTCGGCTGCTTCTTCTATACCAGCTTCTTCTGCAAAGACAACCATCATCTCCCAGTTAGACGAGGCTATAGTTCAACTCAAGTGTGCTGTTAGTCAGTCCTTAGAAAATGCATTGAGGAAGGTGGAGGTACTCGAGATGGACGGTGCAGCAGTACTGAAAGTTAAGGTGGACGACTTGTTAGCTAGTTCTAGTGATCTGAATGAGGTGGAGCAAATCTACAAACAATTGGAAGACGGTACAATTGTAAGGCATGCTTATCGTAAAGTTGATTGCCCCAATATATATATATTCTTCTTTTCTAAGACAGCACTGTTTTAACAGAGGAAACTTGAGGATGCGGAGAAAGTATATGTGCGCTTGAGAGATAGTACAGAGAAGGCTAAGAGTGTGTTGGAGTCTTTCGATCCTCTTCCTACTTTGCCAATTGTGGAATTCGGACTATCGAAGAGGGTGCAAGAGGTAAATTCAAGTTTTGCCACTTTGATCACTTCTTCATTGTTCCCCCCCAAACCAAATTTGTGATTGCAATTTCTTGGTGTAGATTTATCGATTTTATTGATGATTGCAGTTGGTGGTTCATTATAACCCTTTTTAAGTAGAAAAGTTTCATTCTTTATTACCCCCGAAATCAATTTAACTATTTTTGGATTTGTTTCTTGACTATTTTACAAATTGAGTATTCCAAGAAATCGAACTTCATGATTCGTCAATGCATTAAGCATTCTTTTTTTACAACTTTTTATGCCACTGTAATGCAATGGCTGTTTGGATTATCTTAGACTAAGCAGATTTCTCGTGAACAACTAAATCTAATAGGAAAGGTTAATTAGGGCGATCAAAGTACCTATCACTTATTCCTAATTCACGTCTAAGCTTATCAGAAAGGCGAAAATTTACCTTCCGATATGAAATTTGCTGACCTGTGTAGCGAATCCATCTTCCCACATAGGTAGAGTAATGATGAAGTTGTTTAGAAAAGTTCCTGATTCCAATCATATCTTTCAAACATCTTATCTGTCTCAAAGCCCTTTCATTCCATATTGCTTTTCTCTACAATGTTTATTTGCAAAGATTCAGTTAGGTGACACCCATCGGTTTACAACTGTGATCCAACAGTATTATACACTTGATAAAGGAGATTTCTTGGAAATCCTTCCTACTATTCAAATTTCAGTGATTCCTTCTGTCATGCGTTCATTAGTGCTGTGTAAATGTAGATATTACCTCTATATTTGACTTCAGTTTTGATCCTATGTTCCAGCTTTTGTTTACTGAGAACATCTATCGATCTAACAGCTGTTTATATGAAATGAATATAAATTTGAAGTGATGCTTTTTAACGCGGAACCATTTTTAACTGCCGTTTTTGTTTAAATTTCATGTTTAAACATTCATTCCGAGGTGTTTTCAGCAAGAAAGTATCTTCTTTGTCGAATTGTGGTCGTCCCAACGTCACCTTAATAACATATATATATATTTCGAATGGCAGGCGTTTTATTAATTATCATTAGCCCTTTAGCTAACTTCGGGCTTCACAGAGGGGAGAAACATCAAAAGGGGAAAATTCGAGAGGAGGGAGAGAAGAGTAATTCAGAGATGTAAAAGAGACGGACAGTCAGATACAAAGGCAGGGAAAAGGTAAGATGAGCACTGTGGAAGTGGCCGGATATGACGTACTGTGGGGTCATGGTAGATTGAAGTGAGAAGCCAACTGCCAGGTTATAGACTATTTGGCGTGTAAGTATACGTTGCCCAGGGTGTCCCACGTGGAGGTAAATCTACCGCACACCCCTAGAGAATATTATCATATTATCTGTCCTATACTAGACAAACATTTAAAAAGTAGGTTTAAGTAAATAGATTCACGAACTCTTAGTACATATTCCTAATTCTTGTTTGGGTTTATCAGCAAGACGACAACTTACCCTCCGGTATGAAATTCGTGGACCTGTGTAACGAATCCAGCTACCTTCATAGGTAGAGAAACGATGAGGTTGTTCAGAAATCATTCCAATTCGTGTCTGCAAGCTAATGAAACACGTGACACTGTACTTCTTGAGTGGTTATCGCACACAAATTTATTGCATGCAGTTTTGAGGCCTAAACCTTATACTTACGCACGTGACTGCAAGGCGAGTGTATCAATCAATGAGACCAGTGTTTTTTGGTAATCTAAGGAGATTTGCTAAACGGCATAGCTGTTGTTGAGATTGGGGGTTGGGGGGAGGAAGGTTAGAGGCTTTCGGTCATTTTAGTGTTGGTTGGAACTCTGGGGAAATTTTCGAGTTAATCCATGAACATACAGTTTTTCAACTTTGCAACAGACTCACCGAATTTGCCTTTAACATGGTACATTTGCACTTTGGAATGAATACCCAAGTTGTTCTAACTTTATTCAAATATCCTATGTGAGCATATTTTCCCAGGTGCTTGTGTTACTGGTCATCGATGGTGAGCATAAGCAGTAAACAGTGCCCTGCATCAAAGTGGACGTTAAAATCAATTAGATTGCCTAGCAAGTGTCCGATTTCATTTTAATCCCATAAAATCGGTCTCTTGGTGTCTCAGGTCTGTCAAGTTACGATTCCCCACGCGATGACAAGAGGCTTAAATTTTGCGGTTTTGACGAACAGACATTGATTTTGCGTGCAACACCTATTTGGCTTACTTCTATCTTCCCTTTAGAATATTGAAAAACTAGAAGAAATCGATATGATAATTGGGTGTGGTTCCGTGCCACTGTCATCTCTCTTCCCAGACCAAGGCGCTCAAATGAAGAGGTAGTTTATCAATAAGCATTACTTATTATTCCACTGAGTGGCATTTGAAATATCAATTTACATGTCTGTTTTGCCTTGAAAGTCATGCTGGAAGAGGGGCATCGACTACACAAATCTCCAAAGTGAAGTTCTTTGTGGGTGGACTTCGAAGAACTCACACTGAGGAGCACTTAAGGAGGTATTTTGAGAGCAAATACGGCCCTTTAGTGGACTGCCACGTGTCAAAAGACTTTAAGACTAAGGAGTCGCGAGGCTACGCTTTTGTGACCTTCAAAGAGGCCATTCATGCCTCTCGAGCAATGTCGGACTTTCCACATTTCATCGAAGGTGTGCCAATTCAACTTAGACCATATAATTTGCCGAATACCGATCAGAGTAGAAACCCACTTGGGTAAGTTCGTGTTTATCTGAAAAAGAGTATTTCGGCAAATATTCAAGAGTTAAGCCTTTATTTCCATAAATTATAGTGTTGCCTCATCACACGAGACAGCTAAAAAGCCCCCCAAAAACCGTGTAGTGGTGGTTGGAATTTCCGATACCACAACAAAAGATGCAATTAAAGCCGCCCTCTCAAAGATCGGTGGAGTTTTAAGTGTGGACATGGAGTCAAAGAGGGGATTTGGAATTGTGAATTTCGAGAAGTCCGAAACAGTCGACCGGGCAGTTTTCATGAGTCAAGTTAAGATAGATGGTAAGGATTGCGATGTATATCATTACAATATTGGGAAGAGAGTGATAAGGTGAGTCATCTTTGTTTCTTCATTGAATCACTTATTGAAATTCACCAATTTTTGTTTATTTGTGTTGACAGAGAGAGGGAGGGAGAAGGGGAGAAGAATGGTTCGTGTGAACATGTTGACAAACTGAGATTATTTATTGGTAACTTGAATCCTTCAGTTAGCAGGGAGATGCTAAAGGAGCACTTTTCCAGATTTGGAACTGTGACGAAAGTGGACATAATTTGTAATCGCCAGAGTTCAAAACCACGTGGAATGGCATTTGTTAACATGTCCTCTGAAGAGGAGGTGGAGGGAGTTTTGAAAGGATGTCCACATT